CTGACTGACTGACTGACTGACTGAATGGTAATGTATATTTTATTGGTAAATAATCATTTATATAAACTTTTTAATTCTAGAACATTCCTTTTTTAGAAACAAATCTTTAGCGTATTACCTATTACCTCACATTTAGTAATTCAGAAGTCCTTCCTTTTAAAAACGTATAAAATTATTATAAAACTATAACATGTAGTTGCAAGAATAAATGTCCAAAGCATTTCAAGCAACTAACGCGACGATAGACAAGACCCTTACTATCGTTCTACTCTAACCTTGAACAATCGATTTATTTTATTTTGTTTTTTATCTTTGTAAATAAAATTTTTTTTCCCCCTTTCTCTTTCACCATTTCATCTCCTTAAATAGCTTTTATATTTAACATGTAACTTGTATATACATGTAACTCAAATTCTATTATTTTCGATTCGTAATCTGATTGGTTGACAAACTCGAGTGTTCACGGTTAAAGAAGAACAGAAGTAACTTTTTCTTTTCATTATTCTCGATCATTCCATACCAATGAAACGATGATCAGGCAAATTGCAAGATGTCGTCATTTTACTACCACTACCAAAATCCTCGCAAATTTTCTTCTTAATCAAATTCGTATTCCTTCATGAGAATGGTGACAAGACAACTGGTGCTAATTAACTGAACAAAAGAGTGTGCAAGGGAATATGGTAGTGGTAGTAAATGACGCTACAATGCAAGTAAACTATTGTTGAGTAGAGTTGCCTATCTATCAACGAGATACATCACAGAAGTAATCTTTTAAAGTCAGTCTCGCTTTTCTGATCACCATTTTCAGATAAATCTTAAGCGATTCAAATCCGCTATCGTCCAAGTATATTTCCATAAGATATCAGTTTCATTGATAATCATATCGTTTCATTGATGTTGATACCTACTTCGAAAGTGAAGTGAACGGCAAACGCCGACCAAATAGAACTGCGTTTTAACAATTCTATAAAAATACCCTTTGGGTGCCAAAGACAAATGTCTTTTTTCTCACRTTTTGTAGGTTAACGTTCAATAGTAGGTCTTCCCCATGTAATAACCATCCTTTACAATRATAACACTGAAAGAATCCTATCCAAAGGCCCGGGACTTTTGACGACGCTCTCCAGACATCCTTATCAAAAGGGTCGTTTCAGTCGTTACCATGGTAACACTTATGGTTGTGTCTTTCACGGCTCTTGTTGTTGTAGTTGTAACTTCTTCTGATACAGTCTTAAGGATAGCTTCCGTTGCGGACATTACTTCTAGGTTCGTAGTTACTGTTGTTTTGACGATGACGATGATTGAGGCAGGAGTATAATCCATGCTATAATTCACAATCGAGCCGCTTGTTCCTGTATTTAAACAAAAAAGAATAAACAAAGTTAACATGAATACAAAACGAAAACCAGTAAGACTACAAAATAATATCAAAGACACACACGCATAGAAGAAAAGGGGGAAAACAACTACGACATGCAGCACAATATATATAAATAAATAAAATAAACAAAATAACGAGGAAAAAAAAACAAAAAAAAACAAAACAAACAAACAAACAAACAAACAAACAACAACAACTACAACAACAACAAAAAAAGGAGGGACGAAAGAAAAATCACGATCCTTGAAGTGTTACGACGGCAGTTCCTCTATTTTTCTTTCGTCCCTCCCACCCCAGCCTCCTCCCCCAGGGACTTTTGACTCGTAACCAATCTTCCTCGACCAATCGACACGGACAGACAGACGGACAGTGACCAAGGGAAACAGAGGGACTTAGCTCGCAGTCTAATATGTTACACTTATTACTAAACGATTGCTATTGGAAGATCGAAGATTTTTTCTAGGTATATACGGATCAGCTAATTCAAAATTCGCTTGGGCGTTAAATAATATTCTGATTTTTTTTGCAGACAATCTGCAAAATTCTTAATTAAAATATAGAAAATCATGTGCATTGGACAAGCTAGTGGAAAGCGTTACGAACATTGAAACCGTATACGCGACCTGTCATAACGTGATGACACGTAACAAGGTGCAGATCAGCGTCGTTTGAGCTATAAAGCTTGCTGGAGTTAGAAATAAATAAACTTTTATTTTATTTTACTTTTATCGTTTGAAAGAAAACACTTGTTTCTGAATCTTGTGTAAAATGGTACCCTCGACATAGTATTATCCGACCCTCGACTTAGTACCCTCGACCTCGGCATAATACCCTCGACCCTCGACCAAAAGACAGACTCTAAACATTTGACTTCTGCTAACTACCAATGTTTTTATTGCTACGCGCTGATGGATTGAAACAGTCGCGACCGGGGTAAAAGGGTAATAGACAATCGTCAATAGAATAAATCATTAGCGTATTTATTTATACGGATAATACGTGATACTGTCAAAAGGTACGCAGAAATTATTGATTTAATCGACAGTATTCTAATGCCTGATTTTCCTGTCACGGTTGTTTCAATCGCCGATCATAGCGTAGCAATGAATACGCAGGTAAATCAGATAGCCAGAAAAAACTCCCTGAAAGACCGGAGAGAACTAACAAGGCAACTCTACTCACAAATGACGGGGATTGACCTTGTGAGTAAATGAATTATACATTCGATGGAAAGAGACGCTAGTTCGTATTGAAGATGAATTTAAATAAATCGGGAATCACTTTGATACTCGGATTCTTCACTAAAATAGAACCTTAAAAATATAAATATATGCGGAGTGATATTGATCTGAGAAGACAAGTGGAAATACATATATTTTTGCTTATGGTAACAAAGGATCATTCAAACCCCTTCAAACGCGTGTCGACAAAAACTAAGATTGGGGATATATATGAAGCGAAATAGGTATGACCTACGACCTATGTAATTCTCTATATGATCAAGTACATAGCTAAATAAATACTCAAAGAAGTAGAGAGTAAAGCTAGAAATACATACCTGGTTTAGAACAGATTACACGCGCAGTACAGTAAAGCCGATCAGGGAAAATCTGAGTTCATTCGGTTAATTAGTTAGCGATTAAAATCACAGTTTGTTTTAACATCGGAAATGTTAGAAAATAGTTAACAAAAGGAGGGTCGTGCGTAGGAAAGGTGATAATTGTTAGAGGTTGTTTAACGTGAGATTACTAGAATACGAGTATAACCATACGTGGTTTCATTTTGCAAACTCATGGTTTAGTGCCGTAATAATTATTGATTCCCAAATATAAATTTCAAAAATAAATTCAAATATAAATTTCAGCCAAATAAGAAATAAAAACCCGTGGCCGGATCGCTAAGGGAATCTCGTGCACTCGCCTCTGGGGCGTCGGGTTCGCTTCCTGGGGTGCTTATTTATCCGGTTGGATTTTTTTTCCCGCCAACGGTAAAAATAGAGCAGGGAACTTTGACTTTCGACAATCAGAAGACGAAGTTTCTAAGAAAATTCCGATCGCAACGACTCATTCAATTGCCTTTTTCGATTGCTTTTTTCTAATTTATTTTTTCAATTGCTTGTTTCTAAATTCTAATTAGCCTTGTCTTTGGGCTTTCACGTATTTAGGGGCCTAGCTCTGTTTTGATATCCCACGCTGTGAAACAACAGCCACGGCTTAATCAGTAGCAGATTTTTTTTGTAAGCACCCATGGAGTAGGTATCACATGTAAGTAGATGTTATTAGGGGTTTCCCTTTGTTTTTCTTCCGGTTTTAGGCTATGACCGCAAAACCTAACAAGCTAAATTCCAATAATTCAATTTGATACTTATTAGCTGTGGCAGTATCCTGGTGTTATGTTTAGTCTAGAGATCGTTTCAGGGTATAAATATATTTTGAAATTATCCCTGGACTTTGCCCTCGTGTTTTGAGATAAGGAACAGAAAGGTCTACAGAATGTTTCTCAGTCTGTCTGTCCACACTAAAGCCGATATATTAAAGCCGAGTGCATGTTGGTCTTGGTGTCGTTCGTGTACACTTATTTTAATAAATGATTAGGGAAACTTCCGCGTCAGTAAAAAAACTATAATCTTACTCCGACAACGGACTAACGTCCGAATTATATTTTTGGAAACGGTGTTTCCTTAATTCAACGTGCCCACGCCGTGTAACTAGTCACCGCAAGTTGTGGTCAGGAAATCTTAAAAAATGTTTATCTAAATCTTTTTACACGGATTTTCGCTTAACTAAAATGCTGCAAAAGCTTATTATCAATGGTTTAGTATATCCTGGGTTACAGAGGCTCTCTAACGTCAGTGAAAAACTAGAAAAAATAGAGCGAGAGAGTCTCTCGAAGCCAAGGTACATCTACAAATAGAATAACTAGTTAATGCGAATGATATGAAAGTGAAATAAATCAATATTACTTACCGCCAATAAAACTAAATAACTTCCTTCAAAACTTGGCAGATGGACCACAGATGTATCGTAGATGTTGGGATGGACTTCAAGTGTGGGGTTGACTTCAAGTACTTTTTTGATGCCAAGATGCAAATTTAGATGATTTCATTTATTGAATATTTGCTTCTTCGCCGATTATTGATGTAAAACCGACTCAGAGTTGTGTGTATTTTTAAGCTTCACAATTCTTGCAGCAATTTACTCAAGTTTTTGCCGATTCCGGTTATACAAAACGCGAAATTGCCTTCAGAAGCATCGTCTTTGAGACGTACCATTTCTTGAATCAGTAAATCTAAATTTACGTTTCTCTCTCCTTTGTTAGACGCTAGGAAACCAATTGATGGTTAAAATATGTCCAAGTTATACCTCTTCCCAAGAAGCAATTCCAGGTAAGAATAAAATAACTTTTCAAACCAATATTGTATATTTTTTCGAATAAATAACAAAGAAACGACTTCCTGCTTACCGTAACGCTATTCTCAATACCACAAATAGCTGCGTTTTGGTACCAGCTTGGAAATAATACCTAAATGTTTTCAAAATACCGTGACGTAGAACAGGTTTAAAACCACCAACTGCAATGTAACAGCTGGGTAAATAAATTATTAGAAGAAAGATCCTTTGTTTACTTTAAAGCGAATTTAGTACTCGTCAATCTCGTTTCTTTTCTTTTTTTATATGTTTCTGTTGCACTTTCAATTCTTCTTTTTAGTCTCTCTTTTGAGTCTCAAGTCTTGCATTTTTAAGTCTTTTTAATTCTTATTTTTTGATTTTAATTCTATTTTTTGATTGTTATTTATCTGAATGCAATTGATCTAGTTTTTCGTTTGAATCTCATTTTTCTATTTTCAAAGAATGCCCGAAATCAATTCTACAATTGTTTTGTGCCAACTTCAATCAACAATAATAATTATCTCTACATAGGGAACTATTTCATTCTTCGATGATTTTCAAAATGGAAATCTAATAATAATAATAATAATAATAATAATAATAATAATAAAAATAAAAATAAAAACAATGCCCTGTAGACGTCAAGGCTTACAAAAAAGTAAATAGTTTATTGGCTTCAGCCGATTAAGCTTTTTTTGTTATTGATTTAGATAGACATTGTATAGGGAATCAGTATCAAAATATAAATAAGTAATAAGATAAATTAGAGTCTAAGGTTTTTAATCTATGTACTTTCGTTCTTTGATGGAGTTGCAGGATCCATAGTCCCTTTAACGTCTGGTCTGTTGAACACTTACTGCATAGACACTCATAAGACATAGAAATCAATCTGCCCTAAATGCTGTACTACGAATGACATTACTAGCAAACCATYATGTTGCTACTGAACTTTACTTAGCATATCATTATGATATGTCTCAATATATCATATGATTCTATTCTCTATTCTTTTTCTTATTTACATCAAGTTGATTATAAGTTCACTAATTTTTCAGTCATTATCATTATTATCACACTATCAACTATTATATCCGTCATCATAACACTCCATTTGTAATATTATTCCACTTATTATGTGATCATATTGTGGTCGTACTTTACTCGGAGTCATGCTCTATTGTACGGACCATGCCACTAATTGTTTATGTGGTTAAATCCTGATAAATAAATAAGTAAGTAAGTAAGTAAAGGCCTACCCCGGGTCATTAAATCGCCTTAAATCGCCTAAAGTTGCCTTAAAATGCCTTAAGTTTGATTTTTTCAGACTTATTTTTTGCATTTTTGTTTTCATTACTTCTATCATTCATGCATTCATGCATTATTTGACCACCATTACCAGAATGCTTTGCAAATTCCCTCGTGAGAAAAATAAGAAAATTGATGAAATGAACAAAACAAAGGAATTCTGGTAGCA